GTTACATAGTCCGTAATATTGAGACATATTTTTGGCATAGAAAGTAATCGAATTGGAGAATGATGTCTGAATCAAAGTTGTAGCCAGATGGCTTAGCTTTCCAACGCATTTTGAATCGCCTCAATCGAACATCGGAATATAAAGTTCTTATAAAAACACTGAAAGAAGGTGCAGCTGCCTGTTTAAAACAAGAAATTCCGTTACGTAATCCGTTAAAACAACAAATTCCGTTAGTTTTTCCGTTAAACCAACAAATACCGTTAAATAGGCACTTTTTAGTTTTTATATATAGAAAGATATACGGAATTAATTAGTTTTGTAATTAATTATTGTCTCTCACCATCTATTGTATTGTGCCACGTCACCATATATATATATATATATATATAAAATTTTTGAGGCTTTGATAAACCTACATCTATACAAATTGCATAGAACATTATTATATACTCAAGTTAGGACTCTTGTTTGTAATTGCTATACTTCCTTTAGATCATACAAATAGGGGAAAAGGTAATTAGATAAACCTAATTCTTGATTTATCTTCTCTTACGCAGTAAATTTTTTTTTTTTTTTGAAGTCTTAATGCAGATAAGATTCATTGAAAAATCGATATAAAAATACAGTAGAATCAAATTAAATGGTAATGAAACTAGATTGTCTATTATACATATCCCAACCTGACCTAAACATTTCCTTTCGAACTACTAACTATCAAGACTCGAAACAAAGAGTGTAATGTAGCGGGTAATTTATGTAACTGTTCTTAATATTTGTGCCTAATCCTTTCGTAAAACGAATTTTTTACTTGATTTAATCTCTCGTATTATTTTCAACATCGATATGGAACACACGAGCCCCAACTTAATATAGAGAATACGTGTTGCAATACCACTGACGCGATGTCAATTCATTGATGATGGATAAGTAGATATGTGCCCAAACAATAAGATACAACCTGGAAAGTTAGGGTTCACATCACGGGACCTCGGATCAATGCATGTATTCCGGGTTTTGTCCACGTGATCTATCTAATTTCTGTGACAAAGCTTTCCATTTCTTCCCTAAATGGGCCCACAACTTCTCATCATGAGCTTGAAGACAGAAACATGGGCCGAGATAAACGGACATTTCATTCGGGTCAATTGGGCCCACTATTGGAATTGGTATAAAAGTACAATAAATGACTTGATTTGAAGTAACCTTTTGTTTGGTTGGCACTTTCATAACGTGTACATGTTGTCTGACATAGAATAAATATGTGATAAATGTAGATTCAATTTTATTAAAGTAATTTTAGCTTGTAAGAGTATCACATAAAAAGCCTTTTGAAATAGAAATTGAAATCACGCAAATGGTGATTACGCGACAAAATTGCGCCCCATCGAGTGTGTCCCACATCAAAATGTTCACGTGCCGTATCATTCCATGATCCATAGCTAAGCACGTCTTTCTCGTAGTTAAAAGAAGAAAGACGTACTGATTTAAGTGTTTTCTAATTCATGTATAATTTACATCAACTAAGAGATAAACTACTTTAAAAAACACCTAATGTGAGTTAATATTCAAACATGATTGTCCCTTAATGGTATGATCACGACACAATATGATTGTTTTATTGAATAAGGCAAAAAAATAAAGGGCAGAAAGAGTGATTCTTGGAAGATGGCTCCATCTCCACAAAAGTAGTCCGTCCAACACGTGTAATTATAAAAGTTCTTACCGAAAAAGATAAAGGAAGATAATAGAAAATTCCTAGAAACTAGACTCTGGATCTCCATTATTACTTCCGACAAAAAAAATAAAAATTAAAGTAAAAGCCATCGGAATTGAATTAAAAAAAATGCACATGTAGATTATATAATGAATTTTATCTAAACTCTGTTAGTTAAGTAAGTAATTAAGGAATGGTGTGGGGTGGGGTGGGTGGGTTGGGTGTTATAATTAAGGGACATGGATTTCAATATGGTACTTAAAATTGTTTAACAAAGTCTCTAATTTGCTTTCACATTGCCGGAAAAGTTAGGAAATTGCTTGGTCCATGCCTTCAATTGTTTTGGAATTAACCTGCCAAAAAAATTGACTTTTTCATCACCTTTGTACCAAGTTTGTTCAGTGGTCGTAAGCTAATTAATTAGTCGGAAAAAAGGGGTTGAGATTTAAAAGAATTAGGAGAAGTCTTTCTTATTGAACGATGGAAGTTACTGCGTTACTTTCAAGTTTCGCTTTGAGATGTGGAAAGTTAGTTATGAACAATATAAGGAAGATAAATGAAGGATGGTGTACAACTAAGGTTTACCTTTTTCCAACGGTAGAAAAGTATAATAAATCCTATAGATTATTAGGGCCTTAAGCTCTAGCCGAAGCAAGTTCCTAGTGAAGAAGCAAATCATGATCCCTCGACATCAAACTCATAGTTATAAACTCTGATTGGAGGGATGATGTCAAAACAAAAGAAAATGACAAACACGAAAGAGCGTTTTCAATGAGACTAATGGTAGTGGGGACGATTTCAGTGAAGATTCGGACATCTCACATAACACGTCATGCTTTGTCATAAACATTTTTATCATAGGATTTAAATATCTATTCAATTCCACTCGTGAAGAAGTTATTGAAGACATGTTTATTGTTTAAAACTCAACATTCTATGGTTAATTCGCTGTGACAACTTAACCTGCTCAAATAAAAAATTTCGGGGGGGTTTTTTAAATGTGTCAAATATTTTGTTCAGTTGTTACCAAGGAATAAGCAGTAAAAGAATAAATAATTTATATGTTAATTTGCTAAAGAAATTTACATAAGCTAAAATTTCATCATGAAAGTGTCACAACCAAAATGTATAAATTAATTTCAGTGTTCAAAAAAAAAAAAACCGATTAAACTTCTGACATGGGCTGCGTATTAAAAAGACGTGTTAACGTGCAAAGTGGCAGTCATGTCAGATTTACATACGGGGCAAATTTGGACATGAGTGGTCCCACTCCCACAAATGTTGCAGAGGCAAAGATGCCTACATGGCAGCAACAACACGCATGATTCTCTCTCCCCACACCTCCTGCAAATCCTGCCACCGTGTTCCGCCACCTCTCGCCGTCCTTCTACTCCTTCCCTACAATCACTGCTGCCGCAGCACGACTCAACATCCTCCTCCACTGCCCCTCCACAGACAGCGGCACCGCAGGAGAGACGCTTGTCACTAACGTGGGCCAATACTTGTTCGAGGTTTGTACGTAGTGAGTTGGCCGTGGCCTCATTTGTTTGAGCCAAGTTACGCCATAATTGGTTTTCCATAAAAAGACTCTTCACTCTTTCTTGAAGAAACAAATTCGTTTTCCCAATTCTCTGTAACTGATCCTCCTTTTCCTTTAATTTATTCATCACACTTTCTTCTAATGCCGACAACAACAATCTCGCTTGTTGCTTTTGCTTATCTTCCACTTCCAATTTCATCTTTTTTGTCTGAGAATTACCAAAAATTTTGATAAGAAAACTAAAAATCAAGTTCATCGAAATCCCACAAATTCATAATAATTATGCAGATACTTACATGTTGGGAAATAATGCTATCCATCTCCAACTGGTATTGCTGGATTTGAGGCAAAGTTTCTTGACCGACAAAAGATGGAAACTGAGAAATGCCACTATTTTTCTGGGGTTCTCCGAAATTAGATGTAGCATATAACTGATTCATAGATTCTCTTGAGCGCTTTCTCGGAGATGCCGATAAGTTGTATGTGAGTCCACTGCCGGTGTTCACAGAAGTTTTCGCCGGAGCAGAATAAAAAGATTGATAAATCGGAAATAAAGTTTCCGGCATTGATGAGGCCAAAGGCACCGCCGATGAACCCATCTGGGTATTGTAAGCTAAGGCGTCACCGTGGTTGGAATTCACCAAATCTCTGCAAATATCAAAACAATTATCAGAAAACATAATTAAAATTTTTTTTTTTGGTAAATGAATTCTCAAAAGTGATTAAAGTTACCTGTTGGGTATGAATTGTGAAGGAAAAAGATTGAAATTCCTTGCTTCAATGGCCATAAGAATCGAAGAGTCTCTTATTTTCCTCTACTGTATTATGTGGAGAGATGCATGCAAGGGAAAGATAGGTGGCAGAGATAGACTTGGGAAAATGGGTTTGGGATTATTTAAGAATCTGGTGTAAAATAGGAAAGTCAAATAATTCTAGAGAGAGGAAAGAAGAGTACTAGTGTACTACCAAGAAATTTAGGAAATGAAGTATGGCATAATATTTATGTATTTAAAAAAAAGAAATTAATATTGGATTCCTAACACAAAGAAAAAGGAAGATAGCAAACGCAAATCTTGTTGGCCTTATCACCTCAATTAAAGCTGCACTCACGGTTTTCCTATTGCTAACAGCTGACTTAAAGGGGCTATTGTGGAAATTCAGATTTTAATAATCCTCGAGGCAGATGTATCAAAACGTGCCAAAGCATGATAAATGTTCGTGCTCTAAATTGTGGTGACATGCATAGCGATTTAATAAACCGCTCTTTATGCGAAAGAGGTTGTCTTAGCTAGACGGTCTCGATACTGCAGTATACAAATTCTAGGTGTACCTACAATAGGTCGTCTAACTCTGATTAGATATGAAAATCCGGTGCCAAATGTAAACATCATTAGTCATAAGTTACTATTACTTATAATTATTTGAAAATAATTAAATTTAGACAAAGACAAGATCCATTTGATTTTCTCTCAATGCCACTCTGTCTTATCATCAGAATCATTGCAGGATTGATTATTGTCCAAACAATTCCCACTAGCGCTAAATGAGCCACAGTAATTGAATAAAACTTACAATAATCCCTTTAAAAAAAGTCAATAAAGTTGCTTAATTATGCAACGATTGGTTCTTCCTAACATTGATTAGGCTTAACGTAACATGACATCTTCTTCTCTGTTTGCACATCCCTATTCCTCAGTCGAACAAATAATAAAATATCAAGAAGGATTACCTATTTTTCCTTTATTTTATTTGGGATATGATAGGAAAAAAACAAATAATAAAATATCAAGAAGGTTTACCTATTTTTCCTTTATTTTATTTGGGATATGATAGGAAAACCGTAATGTGCGAGGCAGGAAAGAAACTCAATTATTTAATATGTAATACTTGTCTCGACTTTGATTAATCGTCACGTCATGATACTGTATAAGTGAGCCCATAGAATTGGCCTTCAACCTAGAGTAGCTGGAAGGACAATTAAAACATCGACAAATAACAGTCAACTAAATTACATCTTTTATATATTAAAAGTGGCTATGTAACGGAATTTCTTGTTTTTAACGGAAAAAACTAATTGAATTTGTTGTTTTAACGGACTATATAATAGAATTTCTTATTTTAAACAGGTAGTTGTACCTTCTTTCAGAATTTTTATCATAACTTTGTATTCCGATGTCCGATTGAGACGATTCAAAATGCGTTGGAAAGCTAACTCATCTGGCTACAACTTTGATTCAGACATCATTCTCCAATTCGATCACTTTCTATGCCAAAAATAGGTCTCAATAGGAGACTAAAACATCGAGAGCACTCTCAAATCTTCATCGTGAGGTTCGGCACAACTTTTAAGTATTTACATTTTAGTCCCCGAACTTTGGATCCCTTACAATTTAGCCATTTCTCCAAATTTGTCAACTTTTGCTTATTTTCTTCGATCTCACCAACTTATATCATAACATCAAAATCACACATCTAATTATTTATCAATTACATAAACATTACATCATTAATTATTTAATTAACCAAAAAAATTACCTCTTTATTAATAACAAATTAATTCGTAAACAAAACTATTAAATATAAACTAGGCAAACGTGCATTGCACCTTGCTTGCACCTAGTATACTATAATACCACTTTAAATGAGAATAATAGCCAACTAGATTATGCATACTACTTCAAATGAAAATCCCTATTATTCTTTCCAAAATGTTTACTAACAAACATGACATATATAATTTGTAACACCAATTCAAGATACTCGATAACAATATCGACTAGATTTAAGGATTTATTTTCTAAGATCAAGATTTCATTTTAAAGAGTGGGGCTCAATTAGGTTTGGAAGCGGGAAAAAAGATAGATAGACCATCATCGATAAGAATCAACATATCCATTGTGGCAGGGGAAGATGATGATCCGACTATTTTTGCCATAAGAAGTCGTCGTTTTTCCTATTATGGGGAGGAGGGTTTCTTCGTTGAGATGAAGTTGTTGTTCAATCTTATTATACAGTAGGAGTTGAGTAAATTTTTAAAAGAAAACTTCTACACTATATTATTTTCAAAAATCGTATTTGCTTTCAAGTCATCATACGTGATACATTATTAATATTTATAGAATCGACAAACAGCATCCGACAAAAATCGACTTCTAGAGAATGCGCACGACATTAATGGAAACCCTCCTAATTGTGATTTGACTTGTAATATTTTTTGGGGAATTTCTTTTTTGAGGGCTGTTGACAATTTACATTAGATTTTTGTACAAGAAGAATAATTCTCTAAGTACAGCGTGGGGGAGAAAAATGCCATGCTTCGTACTGGAATGATCTGTGTTGTCATGATCAATTTCTACTTCAATAATTGTGTAATTCAAATTATAGGACCCACTTTTACCCATATGGTTGAGAATTTTTTCCATTATTTTTCTATTATTTGTTAGGTTCGGCATTTCTATTCCTTTTTGGCTCTATTGGGAAAAATCGTACATCTTTTGAAAAGAAACTTCCGAGAAAAATAAAATAAAATTAAAGAGGGCCCTTAATTCCTATCTTGGACTAGAAAACATAAAAATGGTGGCTTCATACATTGTTTTGTTCATACATTATAAGTTACAAAACTTGGCTTGTGTAATAAAATCACCTAATATAATTATTGGTAATATCTAATTATTCGCCTTCAATCTTGACGCTCAATACCTTGTTGGAAATGTATTAAAAGAAACCTCTAGAAGACGTTGATTATTTGATAATGCTCTATTTATCACGTCAAAATTGCTATCAGAAGTTTGAATAAGTTTAAAGTAATTGCATTTAGTTATTAAAATATTATTAGGAATTATGTCCTCATTGAAATGTATTTAAAACGTCGCCTTAGTTTATTAATAAGGCCGACATTATATTGTAGCAAACTAGTTGAAGATAAGTTTGAAGTAATTATATTTAGTTATTACAATATTATTATGCCTGATTTGGAAAATTTGTTGATATCCGTGAGTGTCTTTCTTCAATTAACGTGAGTTGGTGTAGTTGTGACTCGTGAAGAATTAAGAAGTCTTTTCCGGTGCTGACTTGAATAAGGCGGCTAGAAACAAGTTGTAATTTTTTCTTCTTTCAAAGAAGAGATTATTGTTTTTCCTTTACCTAGCACCTTGACTCTAGAAAGTAATTACCTAAGTTTCACGAATTACTTTATTTTTCGTTCATGTTAAAACAAAACGATACAATATATTTAATGGTGTAGTACAATCTTTCAATATTGACTGACGGTGTATGATGTGCACTGATATTCTTAGCACTCGTAACTTTTGAGTTTGGTTAGTGGTGGACATGTAAGAAAAATCCACATAAAAGTAACTGCTTCAACTTTAAATCAAGAATCTAGTCGTAAATGCTTGAGCTGTTGTCTTGTAGAATTGTAAAATGTTGAACAACTAGAGATCCTTTAAAGTTAGCATCTACAATGAATTTGGATATGCACACGTTTTCCAAAATAATATTTGGTAGTGTCCGATGACTATTGCACAACAATTCAAACCTACACGCTACAAATGGGATTCAATTTTCTTAATGGAATTATCCACGAGATTGGCAATCTTCTACCTTGGAATACTTATATTCGATGCATAACAAATTCACGAGTTGTATATCATGTCGTATATGTAGCATGTCTTCTTTAAGAGCAAATCGCCTTGTCATAATCAGCATGCAATGTAAGCACTCGAAAAGTATATTTGCTATGATATCTCAAAATGAAAGGACTCTATATTGAATTGTATATGATCATTTTAATGGAAGTATACCTAGCGCGATTAATAGAGTAATCATGCTTCCGCGTTTAGATTTGAGGATAAACAACATTAATGGGACGATCCCTTTTTATATGTTTGCTATCTCGGGAGATTTATTTTTTATATAATTACATCATCGATATAAAATTCATATACATCATCTATATACTAATAGAGTAACTTTTCAATAAACGTTCTCAGCACTATCTTGACGAGCATAGGACAAGTAGGAAAAATGCACAAGCCACAGTCATGAAAGCAACGAGCAATACTTTGGCAAGTAAGGACAAGTCTCTATACAATCTTCAACTCAATTATTCAAACTCTGAATTGAACATGTATTCGTAAATGCACGTTTTATTGTTTTAGGGAAAATTGTAGGAGGAGTTCCTAACCTTTTCAATTTTCACAGACTTTATCATAACGTTCATTTTGTACCATCGAAGGTACCTAACATTTTATAAATATGCAGCTAGAGTTCAAATGAATGAAAAACATCAATTTGACCATTATTTGACCAAGAAAGTTAGCTTGAGTTCAAATGAATGGAAAACATCAATTTGACCATTACTTGACCAAGAAAGTCAAAATTTAATTAATTTTGACCAAATTAAAAAGGACACAATTGTACTTTGTATTTTTCTCATATTAAATAAGTTAAAAAATAAAAAGAAAAATAAAAAACCCAAAAAATAAAAATAAATTTATAAACCCACCCACCCCCCCAAATCAAAACTTGTTGAAATATCTTCTTCTCCAGCGAGACTCTACCGGAAATCGCCACCACCTTCGACCCAATCGGTGCTCCACCTCCTACCTCACCTAGTTTAATCGGCACAATCACTAGCTCGCCCGCCTATCTCAAATTTTTATGTTGGTGCTGTGGGTTTGGGCTCCAATGGCCGTGTGTTCATAGGCTTCAATCTGGAGTTCCTGGGATTCCCACTTTACTACAATGTACACGTGGAGCAATTTCTCCTAACCAATCTTGCTATCGA